ATTTAAACTATGAACATATAAATAAATCTAACTACAAAAAGAAAATATAATAAAATAAATCTATATTACCAAATAAAAATACAAGAAAATAATAAAAAAAATAAAATTTAATCTACTCTACAAGGCATTAAAATAATATAATCTACCAAAAGAAAATAAAATTCGAAAACATGAATATCTAAGTAAAAATAAAAGAAAAAAGAAAACTTACATTGCAAGAGGGTTCTAGCCCCATGAATGCAAATCTTCGTCTTCATCTTCATCTTCATCTTCATCTTCACCAACAAATAAAGAGAAGAGAAGAAAAAAAATGAAGAGACAAAAAAATTATTTTATTAGTTGAAACAAAGTTACAATTCTTCTTAATTAAGAGTAACCCTCCTCTCTGAATGGAGTATTTACAAAAAATTTCACACCTAAACCCCCCCATAATCTAACCATATTTATAGCCTACAGTAATGAATAAGAACCCTCGGATTTTGATTGGAGAATAAGGATTAAAGCTCAATCAAAAAACTGTTTCTGTTGCGAAGCAATCGGTTGGCCAATCGGTTCGCTAACCAGCCCAATCGGTTGGTCCGCCGATTGGTTCATAACAAATTTGATTTTTTATTGATTTCTTGACCCGATTTCTTTATGGATGCTTAAACTTTCTTGGGCCTTCTTTTGACTTTATATTTGGGCTTCAATATATGGTAGAAAATTATGATATTGAATTCTTCTGGGCTTTTTCATTAATTCTTTACTAACCTGCAAATTAAGATAAAACATGTTATTAGTGACATATTTATTTAAATAATATAGATACTAAGGGTGTAAAATGTAATAAAAATATGATTATTACTGACCTTCAAAAAATGATGGTAAAATAGGTAAGATAAATGCAGATTAGTTAAATTTAGAGTTAACAAGTTATAACTTGGAGGAACTATTAAACATAACTTATAGATTGAGGTATTTACTACAATATATGAGAATCAGTCTCTTATAAATTTGGTGAATCACGTAACAACAACAACAACAACAAAACAGCTGCATGAGGCATCCAATTGCAAATGTAATTGCATACGCTTAGCCCTTGCGTTGAAATTATAGCTGCTATGGACCGAAAACCCTTTAATTTACTACATCAATCCTTGTAGCGGCGGTTTTGTGCTAGCATTTGGCAACTTTGCATTAAAAAGTGGACCCATAATATAAAAGTCATGAAGTTGTATTTGTTAAATACATTTTTGGGTAGCAACATTTGTAATACAAATTTGATATTGGGTTAATTTCACAAAACCCTTGAACTTTAGGAAGTGTTGCACATAACCCCCTTAACTTTATTTATCTCACTTAACTCCCCTAACCGTGGGCTGTCTGTCTTGCAAAACTCCCATAAACTTTACCTTATCTCACCTAGCCTCTCCATCTATAATTTGCAAATAACTAGTAATTTCTTGAGGGGCAAAAACTAAAAGTTTTGGGGAAATAGTAAATTGTATGTAAATAACAAGTGACAATGTTTGAGATTTATGCTTGCATTTGGCAACTTTGCATTAAAAAGTGGACCCATAATATAAAAGTCATGAAATTGTATTTGTTAAATACATTTTTGGGTAGCAACATTTGTAATACAAATTTGTTATTAGGTTAATTTCACAAAACCCCCTGAACTTTAGAGAGTGTTGCACATAACCTTAACTTTATTTATCTCAATTAACTCCCCTAATTGTGGGTTGTCTCGCAAAACTCCCCTGAACTTTACCTTATCTCACCTAGTCTCTCCATCTATAATTTGCAAATAACTAATAATTTCTTGAGGAGCAAAAACTAAAAATTTTGGGGAAATAGTATATTGCATGTAAATAACAAGTGACAAAGTTTGAGATTTATGCAGTCAAAGATATTTTAGTTATTTGTAAATTATATGTATGGGGACTCAGTGAGATAAGATAAAGTTGAGGGGGCTTTTGTGAGACACCCCATAGAATAGGGTGGTTATGTGAGATAATCAAAGTTTAAGGGGATTATATGCAATAAACACCAAAGTTTTA